ATTGCACCTCATTAATAGCCTGTTTGATTTCGACTTGGTTAGATTTTAGTTCTTTATTTCTCCAGAAGGGGTTCCTCTAGTATTTTCCATGCTTTTTTTCAAGCCCAGCTAGTATCTTTCTAATCGTCATTCTGAACCCTAGTTCCGACATCTTACTAATGTCTGTATTGATTAGGTCCCTGGCCGTCTGTACTGCCTCTTGTTCATTTTTTTGAGATGAGTTTTTCCGTCTTGTCATTTTGTCCAGAGGAGAATAGATGAATGAGAGAACAAAATGCTAATAGGGTAACAATGTCCCCAGAAAAATACACACTAAACAAATCAGAAGAGACCAAAAACCAGGGTAAAAGAAACGGAAAGAAAGAAAAAAGAAGAAAAAAAGGATATGATCAGATATGATCAGACTGGTGAATAGATCAGTGCCACATACTAGATTTTGGGTGTATTTTGGTCTTTTAGAAGAAACTGCCTCCCAAAATTTTAAAGAAAGAAAAACTTATATATGTACAAATATAAGGGTAAATACGATGAAGGGATGGCATCTGACTGTAAAGATGAAAATTATAAAAGATTTTATAAAAGGAATTGATAAGAAATTGGTTGAAAAAAGAAAGAAGAGAAATTAAAGAAGAAAGGGGGAGAGAATGTGATCAGGCAGGAGACTAGAGCAAAGCCATACGGTAGAGATTTAGGGTATATTTTGGTCTTTTAGAAGAAACTGTATCCCAAAATTTTAGAGAGAGAACAACTTATATATACATACCAAAAATAAGGTTCACTAATGAAGGGATAGAATATGACTCTAAAAATGAAAAATAAAGATTTTAAAGAAAGGGATTGATAAGATGTTGGTTGAAAAAGGGAAAAAGAAAAATTAAAAAAAATGTAGAAAAAAAGAAAATTAAAAAGAAATTAACTTTGAAAGACTAAAGAATCATGGGAAAAAAAGCCATGAATTCTATGTGCTGTATTCCCCTAGTGCTGGAGTTCTGCCATTCTCATTGATCGGTCTTGGCTGGCTATTCTTGCTGATCTTCTGGGGGAGGGCCCTGTTGGCAGTGGTTCTCAAATGTCTTTACCCCACGAAGAATTGCACCGCCCTTGCTGGGGCCTGGGCTAAGTATACTGCTCGGGTTTGCTCTCAGGAGCTTTTGTTCCCTGCAAACTTTCCCTACAGCTTTGGAGGATGAGAGTGAAAATGGTGGCCTCCCCATCTCCACCCGGAGGAGCCGAGAGCTTGGGTCGCCACTCTTCAGTGAGCCCCCAGAGAAAAGCAGTCAATCATTCCTGTCTCCCCGGTCTCTGGCCACACTCTGTGCTCACCTGGCCTGTGACCCAGCGTTTCTCTCTCCAGCACACGACCCTGTTTGGAGTCTCTAAACCCAGGAGGTTCCTGTGGTGCGCTCCCGTGCCGCTCCTCCTGGGGGAGGAAGGGGAGTATTCCCGGATCTGCCACTTGTTGGGTCCCTGCTCGAAGAGCAGTGGCCCGACTGTGCCGCGGATCCCGGTTTATGGCAACCCCGAGCTGAGAGCCCGCTCCTCGGCTCTGTGTCTGCAGCCAGCTTCCCTGCTCTGATACCTGGGAGCTCTGCCTCACTCAGGCACCCCCGGTCTTTCTGTGACCCTGAGGGTCCTGCGACCACACTGTCCCAGCGAGGGTTCCACACACACATACCCCCGCTTAGCCACTGGAGCGACGTCCCTCAGCGGAGCCGCCTTCTAAAAGTTCCAATTTTGTGCTCTGCTGCTCTATCACTTGACGGTATTGGCTGATGGAGGCTCCCTCCCCCGCCATCTATCTTCCCGAATATCGCCTCGGATTCACTTCTCTGCACGCCCTACCTTCCAGAAAGTGGTCGCTTTTCTGTTCAGAGAGTTGCTGCTATTCTTTTCTTCGATCTCCTGTTGCGTTGGTAGGTGTTCAGAATGGTTTGATCCCCTATCTAGCTGAGTTCCTGGGACTAGACGAAATTTAGGTCTCCTACTCCTCCGCCATCTTGCTCCTCCTCCCGAATGTAATTCTTTTCATTAATCCATCCCAAATTAATTTTTTAATTTTTTTTTAAAGTTTTTATTTATTCATTTGAGAGAGAGAGAGATAGCAAGAAAGAGAGAGAGCACGAATGGGGGCTGGGGGAGAAGGGGAGAGGCAGACTACCCGATGAGCAGGGAGCCCGAGGTGGGACTCGATCCCAGGATGCTGGGATCATGACCTGAGCTGAAGGCAGGCGCTTAACTGACTGAGCCACCTAGGCGCTCCCCAAATTAGTTTTTATTTATTTTATGTATAATCTGTGAATGTATCATTTTTTTCATTTCCAAATGTATATATTTGATGACATAATTTGTGATTGAATGTGAAGAGTTAGTGGGAACAAAACTTATGAAGGCCAAAACGATTGTCAAAAAGTAGGAAAATGAATGAATAGAAATAGAGCCTGTGTGTGGGGCACATGTTGAAATTAGAGATAACCTTGAGTGGAAGAGACTCCCAGAACCTAAAATTTATTAAACATTACATCCTAAAACTTGATTTTCTTCAGTGTTTAACATTTGTCATCCTTAAAATTTATCTGTGCCTTTCAGAGTTATCACTGTCTATTGCTGATAGAATCAGAAGGATACACTTAAATGCACCTCTGGCCTTCATCATATAAATTGAAATGTAACTCGCATTGTATGTTTGAAAACTATAAAATCATTGCTGGTCAAGTAAGGAGGCGCTTTCCTTTTTGCAAAGGCATAGCTTATACAGCTTTACAAGCCTCGCTTAGCATAGAGTTATGCTAAGTCTTGTGGGTTTTGGGGGTAGTAAATTGCAGGTGGTCTTTGAGAGAAATTAAAAGTTAACTGGAATCATTGTTATTTGTTGTATCTACTAAAATGATGGAATACATTCATATCTGTTAATGATGTTAGAAGAATTATTCCTATTTATTTATAAGTGTTCTAATAAAATTTTCGTTGGAGAAGGTAACCTAAAAGAAAGCTGACTTGGCATGGTCAGTCGGGGTCAAGTGGTTGTGAGAGTCAGGAGAGTGAGGATGAGCCAGGCAATTCCTTGCCTGTATGTTTAGTAAGGAAAAAGCACATGCACCTGTGGGGTTCGGGAATGACTCAGATCGTAGTTATTAAAATTACCAATGATGTGTCTTCAGAAAAATCCCAAGGGCCTCAAATATGGTGATTTGGGGAAAGAGGAATGGTTGGGGGAGTTAGAGAACATTTTATTTTCCAAATGTAAATCTTCTGACTCATGAACTTAATGGGAAGCACTTTCAGCTCACTCGCTAAGTACCATGAATACTACTGCTTTTGGAAAGCTTATTTTCAGAATTTCCATGAATTGAATCATCTCCATTAGTGTTTTAACAGACCTGCACATATTTACTTGTTAGATTGAGCTCTACTGCATTGGATTTTTTAGAAAAAATCTTTAGCGTGTAGACTTGGTTTGTCCTCTGGGGCTGTTCTTTTCTTACACTTGTTTGCCCTTTCGTCTTTGGGAGAAATAATTATAGAGAAACCTTGACAATCATTGTGTTCTATCATATTTTTAACCCATTTTCTCTTCTTTCAGCTTTACTTTTAGAAGCCCAGTCAACACCATTTCAGGTCACACCTTCAACTATGGCAAATATTGTGAAAGGCCTGTATACTCTCAGACCAGGTAAACAGTCACCATTTCTTTTGAGGTTGGACTTGTTGATTTGTTTGTTAATGACAGCTCCAGCCTTATCCAAGAGGGCAGTGTTTGTCTATGTGTTTTTTTGAGGCCTAATGGTATTTGGATTTGTTATAGCCAAAAAAAATTGAGTAGCTAGATAGTACAGTCATCATTGTGAAATGTAAACTCAGGACTCACTTGGAAAACCGACTAGTTTAGGAAATACAAGAAATAATTTGTAGCAGATGTTTTGGATAAAATTGAATCTCATGTCCAGTATTCATTTCTGTCTTTTTTGTTGTGGAGTTTCTCCTTCACCTGTATCCCACACTGCAGATATGCATAGACATACACATCCACAACTCCCATCTTCTTAGGCCAATTTTGTAACTTGCAGGGAATCTAGAAGTGTTGGTAAAATTACAGTCATTTCATAAGTGTATTGTGAGGAGAGAGATACTCAGTAAAGCAGAACCAAAAATCAAAGACCACTATATTCAAAGGCATGGTTTGTAAATTATCTTAATGTATCTATCTTAGAATAAAAAAGCCATTGTGAATTTAAAGGAATTCCAAGATGTTTTTGTGTATATCTTCCCGTTTGTAAGCCAGAACCTCAAACTTGTCATACAGTTGTCTAGCAAATTTTTTAAAAGCCCATAGCAAAGAGATTGCAAAAGTTGTCAGGGTAGAACATTGTGCTACCCCGTCTAGAAACATAAGGGATGTTTTTTTGACAGTACTTTTTCTGTGGAATTCTTTTGTCCTATAAGGGTTAAATGAAATAAAACATTATCTAAAGAGCTTAACATAGTACCTAATAATAAGCGTGGCTAACAGCTGTTTTTATTACTACCCAGTTAGGTCCAGTAGTTATTTTAATTAACTGATGGCTTGATTGTTTGCTTAAATAATTTGAAAGATACGTCAGAATTTAGTTTGCTGAAATGGAAACCAATTAAAAACTGTGGCATTGTGGGTAGACTGTGATGTCAGAAATACCTTCTTTCCCAGGCTGCTTTAAGCAGTTAGGGTCTTCTAGAATATCCTGATGTCATGTTAACTTAAATTTGCATCGGGTCTTACTCTACTTCATAAACAAGTTTTTCTTAGCAATTACTTCTATAAGGTAGCAAAAATATTACATATGTCCAATAAACTGATGTTTCTAGTTTTTCAGTTTTGTATTCATCTTACTAAATGTGATAAAAATGGCTCATGAATTTTTCTTTTAGTGCTAGGTTATGAATGATTTTTTTTCTTTTTTTTTGGAAGGCATCCAAATGTGGTATTAAACACATTTCTAAATTCTGTCTCTAAAGAGTAGGCAGCTTTATCAGCTCTGGATTTTATCATAAATAACAAAATGGCAAAATAAAACTAATCACTAAGGGTAGAAAAACTCATAGATACATGTTTATCCAAATGCTGTTTTATCCAGGTTTGAGCTCTTGTAATAGGATTCATACTACTTGTGAGGAGAATTCTGTCTTTGAGAGTTGTCCTTTTGAAAAGGAGAATTTTATCAGAGACTAACCTTTTGCTGCACTAGGCATTTTCTGAGATACTATTAAAAATATTTTGACATTTACATGTCTTGCCAGTACCCGTTCTGTTCCTGGTTTGTTGAAGTAGTTTTATTCACCTGACAGATTAAGGTTAAAATATTTTAAAAGTTGAATTTTAAGTGTAAAAGTTGAGTCCACTGCACTGGTTCTCAAGTGCTGATCTTCATATGATGAATGCATCTGAATCACCCAAGGAAGTTTTTTAAACTAAATTCCTGGGTCCTAATCCTTGGAGATTCTTATGACTCTTAGAATTTTTGGTATGTTTCCATCTGATCTTTAGGAAGCTTAGTTTAGGTACAGTGCCAACTCTCCTATCCTGCCCTTCTTCGTTTAATACACACACTTTTCTTTGATTTCTTCATCTTCATTTTAATGATTTCCTGGAGTTCCATAAAATGGCAGATCAGTTTGACTCCTGCCACCCCTCCCTGGTGGGTCAGTGGTTCTCCAGGTCACCATATTGAGACTCTAAAGGTATATTTGAGTTGAGCTGGAAGGAGGGACACTGTTGAGAACATTTTGCCATGAGTTTATACAAGGGATGAGTGGATTGGCTCTGGTCTTGTTTTTTGTGGTACTTGTTTTTTTTGTTGTTGTTTTGTTTTGGTCATGTCTAACTTAACTATTCTCCTGTTGGACATTTTTTACTTACCATTGACCTAGCATCCAGCACTGCACAGCATCAAACATGGCTTGTTTTTAAGATTTTCTTTATTTGACAGAGAGAGACACAGTGAGAGAGGGAACACAAGCAGGGGGAGTGGAAGAGGGAGAAGCAGGCTTCCCGCTGAGCAGGGAGCCCGACACGGGGCTCAGTCCCAGGACCCTGGGATCATGACCTGAGCCTAAGGCAGATGCTTAATGACTGAGCCACCCAGGTGCCCCTTGTTTTGCTTTTGTTTTTTTTTTTTTAGATTTAGAATTATTTACTCAGATTACAATTTTTAAAGCGTTGAGCTCACTGGATTAAATACAGATTGACATTTTGTGGTTTTCGATCTATACAGCCAAGATGTTTTCCAAAGGGAAAATTTGAAAGGGCAGGATTAAAAGAATCTAACAGGGGTTTAACAGTGCTAAATTAGGACCAGCAACAAGGAAGGGGGAGTGCTAATTTTAGCATGCCCTTGATACAGGTGGATGTTATTTATATTTAGTATTCACAGAATAGGGGTAAGAGAGTGCTTATCAGCAAAATGTAAAAATATCTGCTTTCTTTGTACTATAAATTCTTTTTAGAAAGGCCATTTAACCTGTTTGTATATTCCTTATCAGAATGGGCTTGCACTAATTTTTTCCCCACTTTAAGTTTGGTTTAATACATATATTCTTTCTGTGAACGAAAGAAAAGTTTCCCTTTTTCATTTAATTTGTCTTTATGATTTCCTTAATGAATCTTTTTCTTCCCTCACAGAATGGGTTCAGATGGCTCCAACTCTGTTTTCTAAATTTATTCCAAACATTCTCCCTCCGGCTGTGGAATCTGAACTTTCTGAATATGCTGCTGAAGATCAGAAACTTCAAAGAGAACTTATACAGAATGGTTTTACGAGGCAAGTTTTTTTTCTTTCCTTTTTGAGAAAATATGTCCATTTCCTTCGGCCGGTTTGGCTTGGCAAGGGAGGGAGGCCAGGGTTCTTAGAATGGGAAACAGCCATTGAGCAATCAAGGTGATGTTGCTGGGGGAGGGGGTTAGCTGCCTGTGGAAATGTGAAGCTGGGATTTGATTTCATGGAAGCTGCCCTTCCCTAAACATGGATTTAGAAGAAAGGAGCTCTCACTGGGGGGACAGGGAGGCTGGGAGGCCTATAAGCGCTCTTCCAGTTGTGACCCTCTACATTGTTCTCAGCACTGGTGGGATGTTATGATTAGTTATAATGTAGTTTTATGAATGAACTAGCAAATGACTAGTTTATGACTAAACCAGTAAAATGGCTTTTCAATTCTGGTTTTCGTATTTTTACTTCTGCCCTAAATTCTACTTGTTTCTTCTTAAAAAGTAGGATATCTCTTTATATGTATCCAGAAAATTTGCCTTCCTTGGTTTTGATATATACATGTGGCTGATTTTTCTAAAATTTGCAATTCAGGATCTTAGCTATATCCCAGAAAATCTTGCAAAGTGCGTATTTTCAACCAAAATAGATTATATTATGGGAAAACACCCAGTTGCATCACCAAATCATTGAAGGGTGCAGTAAGGTAGCACTTTTACATATCTTCTCTTATTTGAATTCCTGACATTCAAGGAAGGAAGTTATGGAAAGTTAGACGCCTAGGTTTCTCCCTGAGGTATAGTTGTGATCCTGAATAGTAGGTTGAATATTGACTCGCTTACCTGACTAGGGCTGGGGATGGACATTCTCTTTTATAGGTTCTGAGGCCGAGCTACATCTCAGAATACCAGTTTTGACCAAGATCGTTTGTACCGTCTCTAGTCTCAGCACAGATTAGGAAAGAAAGCAGAAGAATCTGTTGTTTGCAGCCTCAGGCATTGGTATTTAGTCCCCTTCTGTCCTGGTGCCGTCTGCATTCCTGTGGACGTGGGGTCACTGAGTCATCCCCACTCAGTGACCCCACTCACTGGCCGCTCGTACGGGAAAGGCTCATGGAAGCTGTGTAGGTAGGTCTGGTAGACCTGACTTTCTTGGGTCAAGTTAAGGGAAGGCAAGGCCATAGAAAATGCTGGAATGTAAGCAGCTGATTTTCCTCCCTCAAGTCCAGTGGTCAGGTGTTTTCTGACATTAATTACAATATTTCTAATAGCAGTATTATTTTCATATACAGAATGAGCCCGTTTAATGCTATAGTAATTTTACTTATTTTTGAAGAGCTATTATATTCATATGGTTCAAAAGTAAGGATGATACAGAAAGTACACATTGAGAAGTTTTGCTCCTAGTTGTTTCCCCATCTATTCCTACCCCTTTAAGTGACCATTTTATTAGTTCCTTATGATTCCTTTCAGTACTTCTTTTAATATACAGATACAAGCAAACACAAACACAATATTCTCAGCCCCACTCTTAGTTTTTTTACTTTTACTCCTTTCTTACCCCTTCTGTTGTGTAGGTAGAACTTGTTTAACCAGTCCCCTGTGGATGGCAATTGGAATGATTTCCAGTCTTGCTGTGATAGAGAATGCTGTGATGAATACCCTTGTACATGCATAATTGTGTACCTGTTGCAGGTATAGATGGAGAGTAAATGCCGATAAGTGGGATTGCTGGGTCAAGAAGTCAGTCAGTTGTAACTTTGATTAATATCGCCAAATTGCCCTTCGTGGGGGATTGTGCCATTTTGCATATCCACCAGCACAGTTTGAAAAGTTCCTCTTCTTCATGGTCTTGCTCGTAGAGTATATTGTTAGGCTTTTGGATTTTCACTGGTCTGGCAGGTGAAAAATAATCACTCAGAAAAATTGTTTTAATTTGCATTTCTCTTACTAAGAGTGAGGCTGAGAATATTACCAGGTTTGTATTTCTTTTCCTGTAAATGGCCTGTTTATGCCCTTTGCTCACTTTTCTATTCGTTAGCCTTCCTTCCTTGAATTCTAGGAGCTCTTTCTATGTTGAAGAGATTGATTCTCTGCCCAAGATAAGTCAGTTGATTTTTGCAGTTTGTGACTTTGCTTATGGTGGTTTTTTGTTTTATTTTAAGTCATGCAGAAGTTTTTTATTTTTGTGTAACTTTATCAGGTGTTTTCTTTATGGCTTATGGGTTTTGAATTAGTTAAAAGTTTTTTCTTAAATTAAGTAAATGCAAAATAATCTGAGTCTATCTTTTGTGGTTTTCTCTAGGCTTACCATAATATTGAAGTCTTTTATGCTTTGATTCATGTTTTTATTTGAATGTTTCCTTTTAATTTTAGAGGTGAGTTTATTGATACCTTTAAAAAATAAACAAGCTTCTGAAAACTTCTTTTTCTATGAAGCAATGTATTATAAGATAGCTCTTGTGGATTTCTCTGAACACGTTGAACTCACCTTCCACAACAGTGTGTAGAACTGTGTAAACATATCCAGAGATATTCTCCTAACCCTAATTTTGGAACTGAAAGAAGAGACCAGGGTGCAGGACTGCATTTAAACGTTAGTATTCCAAGAGGTGATACGATTAAACTGTTTTGTTGTACAAACCAAATTGGGCCATTTCTAGAATTAACAACATATTATACATTAATATGAGAATTGAAGTCTGCCTTACAAATTATTCTGGTGGGTACTTTGCACATTGTAGGTCCTGCCTAACCTGCATTCTCGGACTTCCTGCAGTCCACTGCTGAGCTGGCCCAGACCCATCAGAAAGGATGTGCACCCGTCCTATACTTAGCAGCTGAGAGAAAGTCTGCTTGTGCTTCCAGCTCTTGTGTATGGGCCTTCCACATTCTGCCCTGGCAGACCTGATGCTGCCTTTGATCATTATTTGACTAGGATTGTTTTGGAAGAAATGGTGTCCACTGGTGCAGAAAACCTTGAGAATATAGTACAGGCTATCCAACAAGAATTCTGTTACTGGCTGTTCCGATTGAGCAGTCATTTTATGGTTTATGCCTAACGAGTCACATGATTCCTGTTCAGCTCTGCAAACTATTTTTTCATTTAGGACTGTGTTTTGTTTACATGGTATGGTCCTGAAAGGCAGCACCCAGCTTTGATGTAGATGGCACAGGATGTCTTCAAAGTGTTTTGGAAATGTTGTGAGTGTTGTCAAATGTATCCTCAATTATAGTTAATGGGTATTTCTCATTTGAGCTGGAATTTATATGCAGCATCTTTAGATACATGGAAATATACTTATTTGTAAGCTAGAATTAACATATAAGCTAAGAGCAACATTTTGTTTTTATCAGTTATCTGTGTAATTGAATTGATTATTGGAGGGTGGGGGAGGGCAGGTTGGTGTCTGAGATTACATTATGGAGGGCACCTTGTTTGGGAACTTCTAAGTGCATGCCCTCAGATGGGACATTCTCTTTCAAACCAGCCTATTGGGCCTCTTCAAAGCTCGTACCAAATAGCTTTTAAAGGCAAGTATTTTGCAGAGTAATTGTTACTTGGATTTCTGGAAGAAAATGGTACCTTGTAGGGGTATTGTTGATTTTTTAGCTGAGAGGGTCACTCTAAAATTGGCACTTTTTCATTTAGTAGCAGGGGTCTGGTTTTGAGGGCAGCCATAGCTTTCCAGATGTGGGGCATTAGGAGGTATCTTTGGCAGCCTCTTGTGTAGATCACATCTACATTCTCTCTCTGCCTTCTGTTGTTTTCACATCTATATTTTTCTCCTATTATTTTTGCACGTTCAGTTTTTATTTAACCTTTCAGGTGTGGGAATGAAGGTTATCTATAGAAGTTGAGGTTCTAGATATAAAATCCTATGTCTTCCTTTTTGATCAGCATTAACTTACTTGTTTCAGAATATTTGATGAATGTTACTGTGATGGTACTCATGTAAGGTAATACATAAGCGTAAATAATAATACAAGATGCCGACTGGCTTTGTAGGCATAGTGTTAACAGGAGGTATTTAAAAAGGGCATTAGGACACAGGTGTTAAGAGCTCTGTAGGCCGTCTAAGGCTGGTTCATGCCAAATGTGGTGCATGTTTTTCTCTAAATGCCCAACCTAGAGAAGAACTCTTTGGAGGCCATTTGACATCTTCTCTTCCTGCCTGGTCATTGAGATTCCTCACCTCGGCCAGCAAGAGGTTTCTGTCCTGGTCTTAAGCACAGCCAGAGAAAGGGAGAGGGAAACTGCTAATCTAGAAGATCACTCTGAAGCATGAAATAATTACTTGGGCTAGCATCTTCATAGTCTGTCTCTAGAGGCCATTTATCAATTATTCACTGATTTGTTAATTCAGTAAATATTTATTTTCTGCTAGACACTTCTAGGTACTGGGTAAACAAGTTCCTGTGTTTTTGGAGCTTATGCTGTAATGTTGGGAGATAAAAAACAAACGTGTAAGCAAATTACTTCAAATAATAAAAAGTGCTGTGCAGAAATCGAGACAGAGCGTGGGATAAAGAGGGAGTGAGTGACAGGGCATGAGTGAAGGGCTGGTCCAGCTAACTGGAGATGACATGCCTTCCGAGGGGGAGACATTCCAGTGAGGACGTACGTAGGTGATAAGGAGACAGCCACATGGCTAACTGGCGGCAGGCGTGCTACACGCAGAGAAAATGGGAAGTACGAAAGTGCTAGCATGTGCCAAGGAAGAAGGAAAGCCAGCATGGCTGACGTACAGTGAGCGGAGGTAGAAGATGAGGGTGGGGAGGTAGGCAAGAGCCATGTCTCATAGGACTGGGAAATGAATTTGAATTGATTCTTAACTGTGATGGAAAGCCACTGAAGGGCTTTAATCAGAGGCATGAAATAATTTAATTTATGCTTTTACATAAGATTGCTCTGGCTCTGGTCTGGACTAATAATAAGACTCTTGCAGATTGCGTGGGGGAGAGATGATAGTGGCGTAGGTTGGGAGTGTAGCCAGGGAGTTGTTGGGAAGTGTTTGATTTTGGATTATGTTTTGCTACAGAGTGCTCTGGAATGAGAGGAAGAAAGAAATCAAGAATGAGCTAGGATTTTGGTCTGAGTAATTGGGTGGCTAGTAGTACCATTTATTGAGGAAGACTGGAGAAGGAGTGGGGTTGGAGTGCAGTCACTGACCATGGTACACTGGCAGTATTTATCAATCTTCCAAGTGACAGTGGTGATGAGACAGTTGGACCTACAAGTCTGAAGTGTAGGGAAGAAATGAGAGCTGGAGACAGAAATCTGGGAGTCATTGGCATATGGATAGTATTTCAAGTCACAGGCTGGTATGATTGCTGTCTTAGACTAAGCCAAATATATACACGGAGAAGAAACAGTGGCCAAGGACAGTGTTGGGTGGAGCCAAAACTGTTTCGGGAAAGAGGAGATGAACTGTGTAGATGCTACTGAGGGACTGAGCAAGAAAAAGCTAGCATATCCATTGTTATTACTCATATTACTTGAGCATTTTAGTTATTTGTCTGGATTATTGTCTGAGAAACCAGAGAGACAAAACTAGGATTTATCAGGCAGCACAGGACCTAATCAGGACCTCTATTTCCTTATCTGTAAAGTGGAACTAGAACTTCTATAGGTGTTGAAGATGAACTGCTTAATACATGTGAAGGTTCGTGTTCTCCCACCTGCGGGAAGGGCATTCGTATGCATTAAGATTCTGAGATTTTTCAAAGCCTTAAGCAGTGTTTGGTCTTATAATAAGGCTTTTTGGGGGAGGGGTGCCTCCGTGGCTCAGTCGGTTGAGCATCTGACTCTTGATCTCAGGGTCATGAATTCAAGCCCCATGTTGGGCTCCACACTGGGGTGGAGCCTCCTTAAAAAGGGGGGGGGCGTTTGGGGGGAACATTTTGGATTCATATCTGAAATGTGTCTAGTATATGCCAGGTCACTAGGGATGTTGGTAGCAGAATTCAGGTTTATCTTCAAAGACATTTTTAGTCTGAACCTGTTTTCTAGAACCCAGTGTAAGCCATTTTTATAGATAACCCTTCATTTAATAGCTTTCTGTATTTAAAAGGCAGCACCTTTTAGCTAAGAATATTCATGTTATATATGACTGTACTACTGTTTAAGTTTAGTGTCTGTTTTAAGATAGGTTGTTAGAATTGAAATACGTGCTTTACTTCTGTTATCAGTTCTTTCATTTCTCCTGTTTTGGTGTATGAAGATGTCCGAGTGTTCTGTTGATTCCTTCTTTTCTTATCCCCAGAGGTGACCAGTCCCGGAAAAGAGCTGGGGATGAGTTGGCTTATAGTAAGTAATGATGTTCCTTACCATTTCTAATGGTTTTGTTATGTCAGGCAGCTCCTGGTGGGGACCGTGCGGTGAGTATAATGAAATCCGCAGTGTTCTTGATGGTGGCCTCACAAGGCACTCTGTGTGATTGACGCCAGACTGTTCTGCGGGTTATGGCAGCACTGGAGTCTGGTTTGTGGCAGTGGTTTTCAGCAGCTGTCAAGAGCCTCCCAGATTCTGGAGTCTCTACTAGAATGGGATGATGACACAGTTCCTGATGACACAGCCCCTTTCACTTCAGCCAGCTTTTTTTTTTTTTTTTTTAAATCTCCTTTTGGGGATTGAGAGAGGGGTGAGAAATATGTATTAAATAAAGAGATTCTTACCATTATCAAATGCTGTCTGCTATTCATACTTTTTCCCGTTGCAATGTTTTTTTTTCCAGACAGCTCATCAGCATGTGCAAGTTCCAGAGGGTACAGATAGTGAATGTATTGAATGTACTTTCCTTCCCGAAAAGAGGACACACTGGAGCTGCAGAGACTGTATTCGGAGCACAGCGGGGGGTCCTGCAGACACTCAGGAGCTCTGTCACAAAGTTGTTCTTGGAAGAGGATGTTGGACTTCTTACTTTGGTTTGTAATTTTAAAAAACAAAAAAACTAACAAAAAAAACAGTCAGTTGCTGCTAGACTTGGGGATGATTTTGAAATGGGACAATCTTTTAATGAGTTTATCTACAGATTCCATGAGGAACAAGCGTCTTGAAAAGTGACCATTGCTAAGGGAAATCCAGCAGCCAACATCAGCAGCTTCCTCCAAAAATATAAGAGCAGAAGAATCTTTTTTTTTTTTTTTTTAAAAGCACTTGTTTTGTTCATTTGTGGACTTGGCACTTCAGCATATTGGCTTTACACATCAGGATCTCTTTTGCTTTAAAATCAAGCAGATCATTACAATACAGTGTTTTTCACCCATTACCAAAACAAACCCCTTTTAAAAGAGTTGGTCTTTGTTTAGCATTAGAAAGTCTTGTTAAAGGAAAATGCTAACTTGGCTTCTGCTATAACTTTTCCCCTCACCAGTTCACAGCTTTTTTCTACTGTGTGCCTTGAGCTTTGTGCACTTTGCAACTCTGTGACCATGATGTTCAACTCACAAATGCTTCCTGAAAAAGTTTATGGTATCACAGACTAACCCACTAAGATGTCAGGTGTGACTTTGTAGCAGGATGCTAAGTAAGTGGGAAAATAGAAGTGTGTTGCTCATTGGTCAGATCTCCCCCTGCCTCACCGTGGCATATTCATATTAATGTTGGGGACCAACTCTTGTAGAACATATCCATTCCCTCTGTCACTTCACATGATTTCACCAGCTGCTGGAGTATTGGCATGATGCTAGTGTAGGGGTGGGCTGTACTTTAGCACTAAGCTCCCTTTTTAGTATTGTGGAGAAATTTCCAGTGGTAACAGCTAGTTACTGTGGTGCTCTAGGAAGCAGATATGGTTATTAAATCTAAATATAATAATTGGTGTGGGCTTCCGGATCCATTTCATTTTAAATGGGTGAGTAGGTACTTTTTTAAAAAAAAGTCTGCAGTTTGCATCTTTTTTAGCATTATATTCAAGTATAATAGAGAAGTAGCACTGCTGTTTCAAGCTTCTTTCCACCTGTGACACAGCTATATTTTGTTTTTTTTCTGCACCCACAGTGCTGTTTAGTGTCTTACAAAAGACTCCAAAGCTTATTCTAGTTGTTTTTGGAAGGCAAAGAAAAATAGATGTGGCAGGTGAAAATATTTTTCTTCTCAATTTTTGCTTGACTCTAAATTGAGCATATGCTTGATTCTATTTGGCTATGTCACACTAATATTTACCTCTTCAGAGAACTTGGGGCAAAACAAGATGTATCAGGGATAGTGTCACACTTCTGATTGTCAGGTTTCTCATATAGGTGCCTCTGCCGACTCAGTTTGTCTTTTTTCAGGAGCAGGCTGGATGGGAGAGTTTGAAGTGTGATGATAGGAGCAAGGAAGTCATCTAATAGAAGTCCTCTATTTGTAAAATTATTGTTCTGAGAAGTAAACGTAAAGGGTGTCAGATTTATTTTTTAAGTACTTAAACAACCAGAGTTGGTGGATTTTGCAGAGGACTTTGGATTGGACTTGTTTAACTCTGTGAGCATCTTAGATTGTATTGATAAACACTGAATTACTGTAAGAATATATACAGGCTCTCACTGTGCCCTGTACAGGTTGATTTGCTACCCCAGTAACCTTGTGGTGTCAAGGAAGAATTGCATTCCATCAAGAAGTCCAAATTTTACTCCTTGCCATGGAGTGCTCGCTGTGGGCTTATAAATAACACCTGCGACTAACATCTCTCCTGAGTGGTTTTAATAATACTTCTGAAAGGAATAAAATTGGGATGATTCTTTAAATGTGGATGAGTTCTTCATTATCCTAATAATGTGCCCAAATGCTTTTTCTGGGAGAGTATTCTTTGGCCAACAATGGAACTTTCTCTATAAAAGCATTGTATTATGATGTGAACTGGCATTAAAATCTTCTGATGCTTTTGCATTATTAAGTTAATGGAGAAAGATTTTATATTGTCTTCTTTTTATTATTATTATGTATGTGTTAGCAAAAAGTGGGCCAAGTTTGCAAAATTTAGTTTGTCTAAATATTTGCGCAGCGACTGCAGCTCACAGTGGGCCAGGGCTTAGTACTGCAAAGCCGTGAGTGGAAGGCACTATAGAAATCATACATGCATCCTCCTAGTGTATGTGACTTGTTACTCATCTTGGCCCCTTGAGGTACATTGCAGGATGAAAAACCTATTTCTTTATTTTAAGTAGAAATTGACCTTGCTTATTTAATTGGGTTTAACAAAATTCTTGGTTTGCAACATGAGAGGAAATAAGATTTGCCCTCCCATTTTGTATTGACTAAGCCCGGTCGGCCAGAAAGTATTTTCTTCTCATGTTTACTTGTATTTTTCTTGCCAGTACAGTATCTAGTTTTTCCACCCCAGTTAAATCCTAGCTTTTGTGGGGCCCAAATCACTGAGGACAGAAAATTATACACTGTTTGTCTCATTAGGCTACATGTAGTTGATCCGGCGAGCCCGACTGGTGTGTATGTGCAGCCTGAAGCTAGACTCCCCGAAAGAAAGGCAGCTCGGTCACCTTGGAACAATGACCCGTCAAAGTAAATGACTATGGTTTTGAGAGACGGTACTTACTTTAAAAGTTGGCCTTATGCTTCAGTAACAGTGTCCTCTCCTGGTCTCTGTTGTCACAGCTGCACCCTAACCTGACAGGAGCTACTGCTTTGTTTTCTGGGGGTCGGAAGGCAGAACTTCGTAGAGTGTGACTCTTAATCTAGTAGTTCTTAGGTAGATTTAGAAGAAACACAAACCTGGATGCATGAGTTGTGCATTATTAAATTTTGTGGGAAAGTTTTTTTTTTTTTTTTTCCTGTCCCTTTTACAAGTTTGAGGCAGTTCCTCTCCCCTTCTTTGGGGTGTAGGACGGGAACTGAGCGGTAAGTGAGATGTCAGGAGAATGGGCGCCCATGGCGTTACTGCTGTGCGCGTCTCCAATGCCCCAGCCATGTAAGCCGCACTCCCCTGGAGTGCAGACGCCGTGCTTTCTGTCGGGTTGCAAATTTGCACACGTGAAGAATTCCTCAGGAAGAGTTTGCACATGCATCGCCTTGCAATATTCATTACTGACCGAACAAGGGACTTGAATGTTTTTCAGCACAAAAGGAGAGCTTCAGAATGGTGGTCTGTGCACTCGTACTAGCAAAGGTCATGGTGATCTAGCAAACACGATTGGTTTCTGCAGCATAAAGTGAGCAGGAGCACTTGTATCATAGTATTTAAATAAGCCTGTTTAATCTCCAGAGTAGCACTTCCAGATTTTGTCTTCTTTTCTTATTGAGACTGGCTATATTTTCTTCTGTGTTTTTTCTGTTTTATGGCAGTTAATTATTTCCATGATTATTATAGAGGCATTGCCCTTGAGCTAAAATTCAGTTGCTTAAGAAGAAGCTATTATTAAAAATAACAACATTGTTTTATGAATATACACTAATCTGAGGTATTAAAAAATTCTAAAACTAAAAAGCAAAACAAAAAACCTACATTAGGTATCCAGTCAGTTTGGATGTTTTGAGCTGATTTTTTTTTTTTTTTTTATGGTGTCTCATTGCGCTTCAGAGTATTATGTTTACTTTACTCCAGGTCTAGGCCTCTTAAGGGGACTTCAAAATGTAAGATCAGAATGTGAATCCCTTGACTGACACCTAGAATAGGTTTATAGGACCTTTTCGGTTGTGGTTGCAGTTTTCAGTAAGATTGCATAAGATGAAGTTCACGTTTATCAGAAGTTAAAATAGGAGTTCTTGGAGAAATGGCTTTCTTGTTACTTTCATTGCCTTGTGGAAATTTGTCCTAGTTTCTGGCCACCAGAATCGATGAAAGGACCCCTGTTCTTTTTCAAGGGTAATGATACCTGTTTTGTCCCCTTAGTTTTGATGAACTAGGTCACTGACACTTTCCCTCCTTGCCTGGCCAAGACCCTATTTTGAACTTCTTTACAGAGCCGAGTGGCACAAGTACATAGACTATTTCTGCTGATGTTGATGGTGTGGCTGTGGGAGCATTAGAGAAAATCCTCATCAGAGGGACATTCTTACAGGACCTCAGTATACATTGTAACCCTGCTGGTCGAAAATTATCTTCATTTCTGGTTGGACTGCATTGTTTAGAAAAATGTTAATGGTTTATAATTCTAGAAAATTTATAGTGTGGCTCTGGGGTAAATTTTGTGGTTTGGAAAAAAATAAATATTTTGTATTGATTCTAACATGTCATTTCAATGTGGTGACGATGTACTAAATGCAATAAGACTGTGGATATTCTTCTTAGAAGGGTATGTTTTGTTAAACAGATGGCAATTTAATCGCTCTCATTAGCCCTGGTTGTCAATATTAAGACCATGCGATTCAGGAGAAATTATTCAAATGTGAAGTTGTGGGGAGTTATGGCTGGAAACAGGAATGCTTATGAATAAATAGGAGGTCAAATGCAGACAAGAGGCTCTTGCCACCCACCAGCACAGCCAGAGCAAGGATGAAGCAATGAAGTCTAGTCCCTGGTGGTGCTTATTTTTTGGAAAGCATGGTGGAGCTTAGAACAGGGTGTTCTGTACACCATCTCTTTTATCAATCCAAGAAAAACAAAATGGTGGATGAAACTCTTACTGATTGGGGATTAAAGCCACTGACTTTGGCTCTGACCTTTAACTCTTGATGGATTTGGATTCACTCCTTCTGTATTAAGGGTGTATACCATCACTCAAAAACATTGTGGTTAATGAAATAAATCTTGTACAGATGTCCTTGGCTTGTTATGTTGATACTTGGTTCGCAGTAATTTGTTATACAGAACATATGATTTGCTTTCAGTATATTCATAATGCCTCCTAAATAATAACCACCCTCAGCACATTGTCTGTTCTGTCAGCTGGTTAATCAGCTGGCAGGGTGAGTGTCCATCTTGACCTTTGTACCAGTGATTAAAAAAAAAGCGGTGTGGTGTGTGTATTTAATTATATACATTTAGTTGCTCTGCATATGTATGT